GGCACCTTTATTAAATATTCCTCTTGGATGTCGTTCGAAGAATTAGTTGGTCGGTTTAGGGGTTCCAGGACGAGTAAATTAAGATCTGGGGATTAACTGGATCTTACCGCGTAATTTCGACCCGGAACATTCAACTGATAACCGCAAACCGACTCGTGTCATCTCGGCTGATCTAAGACAGCTCTCCACACAACCTCCAGGCCAACGTCCTCTATTCTATTCACGCTGAAATACATGAAGATCTATCGCATCGGCCACCAGTCAATAAGGTATGAAATTTAGCGCTCGTCTTAACCAAACCGGTAACTTAGTCACTTGGCCCGAAAAAGCCTTCTTTCAAGAAGTTAAAATAATGCCCAGAACTAAGTCTTTGTCTGGACTCTTGAAGTGCCTAAAAGGAAACTGGTCATGAGAATTTTTCGGTGAAAACGTTCGGACTGTTATATTGCCGTTCTATGTCCCGTGGAGCCGGACGTTCCGATTTGTAAGCACTACGGATAGAATACACAGATCTCAGTCTGTTGCCATTTCATTAGCTCATATCAGTAGCAAAAAACACGCAACTTGTGTATAAAGCAGGGTCAGCAACAAAGTTGAGTGGACAAAAATTGACAGTTTCACGCAGGTATCACGTGACCGGAACCATTTGTAGCTCCATCACATTTTGTGCATAGAAAGCTGGCTCGTGTATCTTGACACGTGGGATTCGTAGACGTCAGTTTCGTAGCAGTAATTACGTGATAGTTACTGTTGTACCTACCTGGTAAACAGTGAAGGTCACTTGAAGGTCACTATCCACGACAAAATATAGTATCTCTATTAAAATTGATGTTCTTGCACGGTTGCTCAAAAAGTTTCTTTAAAGTTTATCTTTGGTTCTTTGAAGACTGAATCTAAATGGATTAGATCAGCTGTGAAGGAATAATATAATATTTCTACGCCAAAAACTTTCGAATGCTCCAGATACAAGAGAAGGGTCAGAACATCCGAAATCTTGAAAGTTTTACACATATCATTTCAGACTGTCAAGATTTTTTCGAGATTTGTCCCAGTGCGTGATGTACCATTGGCAAGGTCCCCTGGACCAAATCATCAACTTGAGATGAGCTGTACATCTCTTTCAAGGCCTTCAAACTGATGTGTATCCGCATGGCTATGGTTACTTCCAACTCCGATACAGTCACTCTGTCATTTTTCAGTCCAGATGAGGGACCAAGCTGGATGTGACCGCTCAGCAGCTGGCTTTACTAACATACCCTTTTATTACAGACTACTAAACATATCCAAAGTAGTCTAAGTAGACTGTAAATAATCATCAGACAGTCTGTCGGGCAGTAGAAAGCGTAAGATGCAGATGAGGCTACCGATCACTTTTTATTTCAGATAAAACTGCTGCGGAAAAAACTACAGTCGGCACAGAATGAGGTCGCCCTACTAACTTCTCAGTTAGTAATGAATGTAAGTCTGCCTGTAACAGTGTCACATACTATTCGTTTTATCATGTTGAATCAAATGACATTTTTGAGAATGAGCTTCACTAGTTAGACTCATTCTTTTGCAGCTTTCTTTTATCACATACCGGTAGAGTTCGACCAGACATTCTTTAGAGAATGATTAGAAACTTTTATTTCTTTGGGAAATTAGCTTGTTCCATTGCGTTCCTCAGCAGATATTCCATTGCGCTTGACGTTGTGGAATATTCAGAGATTTACTATATATTTGGCTCCTCAGGATACTGTTTGGACGGCGGTGCATCTTTCCTTTTGTTCACGTTTTTTCTCTCGCAGTTATGATGGGATAATATCAAAACTTAACAAGGGTTTACAATCGCTTTATCCTAGGCGGAGCCCGGTAGCAACGTATAATGGGGGAAATGATGTGATAAACCGGCAATGCTATATTAAGCCTGCCTGAATCGTTCCACTCCCGGTTAGACCGTGAACAGATAGCCTTATTCCACTTGGATTTTTGAAGGACAACAGCTCACGACGTTCGCTTGACGACTGACCAATCATAACTAATAATTCGAACGTCAGCACCAGAGGATTCATCTTAGGTTCTTCCGAGGAGAACTAAATCATTTTAGTAAGCCAGCGAAATTTAACCGCGCACATTCCGATGGTATCTCGGAAAAATTTAATCAAGATTTTCCAGGATTTCGAATGCCAACTGTTGTGGTTCTTAGTAGGCTTTCAATAACCCTACACCAGGTCGTTCTTCGTGAAGTGGTTTCCACGCTTGTAGCCACTAACTCACTGACACACTCATAGGTTCATGACACTCAACCGTCTCCGACGTGAACGATCACGTCGAGAAACACATTCATTTGCAAATCAATTTGGTTTTCACGAGACTCAACTGAAGCTCTCGTTTATGATATCCTACAACTGAATGTGCTGCACACAGGCCGCCTCATGTTTCAGCTGGCACGATAGTCGAGATATCGCGGTATATGTTCATAAAGGAAACAACTCACAAGGTTGCCGAAAACTCACCGACAGCCCACGACCGGTTTCGCCCTTCCACTTTGAGCTCATCAGGTAGGCGAAGTCCCCCATGTTCCGTCAACCTCATGTTCTACTTGAAGCCAAATCGGACTGTTTTCGAGAAACACATTCATTTGCAAAGCAATTTGGTTTTCACGAGAGACACAACTGAATCTCTCGTTTATGATATTCTACAACTGAATTTGCTCTGAGTAGTTCCCTTCATGAACGACCACCTATTTTGAGTGTTATGGGGTCACAGTAACGCATGTGCGGGTGTCATGAGAAGGCCCGTAAACTCCTCTGTTACCAGTGGTTAAGAGGAGACTTCTAGTCGCCCCCAGCTCTCGAGCCTTCATGAATACAGGGCATCAAAAACAATTAAAGAGTTGGAAAGGAATAGTCACTTTGGTTCTTTACCGCACAAACATGTTATGGAAATTACCACGGACACCTGTAAGCTTGCAACCAATCAAATTTAACCCAGGTACTCTTGTCAGGTGGAAATGCTCTGGGTGGCGGTTCTAAGCCACCACTGATGTCATAAAAAATTGAAAAAAAAACTGCGGGAAAGTCAGGATCAAACTGCCGTAGACGCTTTATACTACTGGAACTTTTGAATATAGGAGGGAAACAGTGGAGTGCTCGCCTATTCACAAAGCTGGTAACCGTAACCATGTCACGAAAAAACTCGCCACACTGTCAACGCGTAACCAGTACTCTCATTTTGAGTTCAAACTTTACTTCAGTTTATTCTGACACCCACTACCAAACTCATCCATGCTTCTAGCACAGTTCCTAGTCATCTTGTTTACAAAGCCTCCTAGTTCTGGTGGGACGTTGCCTTGTTCTTTCGGTGTTATGGAAAGTCCATTTTCACTTTCAAAGTTAATTACTTCACAAACAGGTATCTACTAGGTGCGCATGAAACAAAGGTTGATCACACGAAAAAAAACACGAGTAGGCTCAAATGAATATCTTTTGCCAATTGTCGTGCACAAAACAGATCTCCGTTTTATATTTGGCGAGAGGTATCTCAGTGTATTTCCCTAATGTTGCGTAATATTCGTTAGGGTACCGGCGACAGTTGCGCAACCAGTTTGAAGTTTGCTCTCCAGTAAATTTGTACGTAGTGCCTTTTGTCGAGAACCTATACTGAGATATCTATAAAGAAGTATCAACTGAAATACGAAGTATCCTCTGCCCAGCACATTCAGTAGAGGAGTGAAACCGGTGTAACTGCGTGTAATACTGATAAGGCATGCGAGTAGTCTGTGGTCTGGCCGAAGCTCCGCCCCTCATCTAATGGAAGGTGAAGTTTATTACGACATTTGTGGAAGTGCTTTGAAGTGTCCGTTTACACTTGCGTGATAGTTAGTGACTACCCATGAAAGTTCAAGAATACGCGTCACAATGTCCAGATTCCAAAAACTAGATGCATATGAGGTGTTTACTTTCCTGTCTAATACTTTGTAACAGTTTGCTAGAATACGACTTTGTGGTAAAGGGACTGCCTCCTTACACCAGTAGTGCAGTGTCGAGGCGTTTTCAGCAGCTCTGTGAGTAGTAGGCCATATCAAAATCCAAGACGTTTGGAGTTGGTCAGACGTATAAAATCGGTCTCGTGAGGCATGGAAGCCAGTTTCGGAAAAAATCTATTGGTGTAAGAACTTAATGCTGTGTGACTTGGTTTCTTCGACTAAGTGGCTTAGATTTCAATCGACCCGCTAGACTTTGACACGCTGTTTGTTTGCGGAAACGTTTGAAACCGAGAGAATCTACCATCACGTTTTGATTGCAGTGCAACTTTGAAAAAATTAAGCAGGCAATATCCATCGAATCGTACATTCCCAGCCTGAGGGATGGAAAAACCAGCAGGGCGCCGACGAAATCACACAAGCCGCCGTTTGGTTTTCACCATCGTTATGTCAGCAACAGCGATGTAGTTTCAAAAAGCAGTTGTACGAGCTTTCTCTCCCTGAAATATGTTCCCTTCCAGTTTCCCACTGACAGATAATTTCCCCAAACAAACATGCACTAGTGGTGGCTATGGTAATGAATACCCGCTCGCAAGTAACATTTTGACTTGGCCATTATCCAGTAACTGGGTCGGACAGAGGGGTAGTTAGGCAAAATGTATGGATCGGAATCCTGAGGGTATCAATGGTACTTTTTGACAAACTGAGCTTCAATTTCGCTCGGCAACACAGCCTGTGAAGATCCAGAATGGATCTTGACGCGGATGCGAAACGTTCAGTGTAGTTCGAAAACACTGACGTAAGGAGACGATTTTATCGATCTTTCGGACAGGGAAAACATGTTTGCTACACAAACAGTACCAGTTTATCACAGTGACCAGCCTCATCCGTTTTAACAAAACAGCATGAAAATGAACAGTAAGGTCGCAATAACCGAATGGGATTCAATCGGAACATCAATAATTAATCGATCAATCGGAGCTATTAAATTTTATTTTTTATCGGTTCGCCGTAACATCCTTTCGGTGCGTAGCTATCATGCCAATTGAAGGAAGCACGAGGGCTGGGACACTACCAGGTTGCCCCAGCCTAGACAGGGGAAGTCGAGAGAGGCAGAGGTCGGGTTCGAACCACGGAACTTTCGGTCAGAAAATTCGCGCTCTAACCACTTGCTCCATCTCGCCTCTTGGAGAGTAGGTTACCGTCCAGAAACTGGAATAGTATGGAAGATTTCCACTCACTTTCCACTTTTTCATCCAATGCAGGCTTTTCAAAAGCCAACGCCAGTCTGATCAATCGATCGCTCACTGCAATCGATCAATGCAGACTTGTGGCAAGATTAGAACCCAAGCCACTGTGAAAACCGGACAGCTGATGCACAGAGTGCGTTACGTACCTTTTGAATTGTTCGTTTCTCTTTCGCCAGTCAGTCATGTGTGACCTGTCAATAATGCTAAACTCCGGGTATCAGCGCAAAAAGTGCGACAGACAGTTGTGCGGCTGATCACACGTGTTGAGCACGTGAATTATATTTCCTGGCATCTGCCTCATCTTCTTCAGTGAGGGCTAGTTTATGTGGTATTCAGCATTTACAGCTCCTGGATGCCAAAGATGGTTTTCCTCGACTCTTCAGTTTCCAACACCTAGGCTTTTCAAGCCAAAAGTTTCTTGAAAGCCGAGGCTGTCTGGATCACACCGACATTCTTCATCCAGTTAGCATGTGTGAAATTTTGCGCGAGGTCCGCTTAACGAAAACGGTGCAGTGAGTACTCCGAAGAAACGAATTCTCTCATCTATTCGTAGTAAAATACTATCAGCCTGTAACTTGGACTTGATACAATAAACTGATTCTCCGTAATGTGTTTAAACACAAACTCTGTAGGCCTTTGTCCTTCTGACGGCTTCTGGACTAATCCTTACCCAGATTGCACTGCTGAGTCTTCCGTTCTACTCAGCCTTTTTTTGCGCTTCGGCTAAGCCGACGAGACTGCTTGGATGTCTTTTACAGCGGCGAGACTAGGGTCACCAGTTTCAGGGCTCTTTGAGCCAAAATGACAACTTGAGCTCTCCTTAAGACATAAACTCCACTGTCCAGCATATTGGCAGATGGCAAGAGAACAAGATGGGAAGTACAGCCGGCACACCACTCGTAGTGCAACCCTATTACGCTTTGGTAGCTTCGCTCCAACAGATTTGCAATCAACTACTCCCTCACAGCCAAATGTTAGCCTGATCGCGGTGGAGTAATCATTCACAGTTAAATATGCCTGGGAATTTCAAGCACTACTTCATTCGAAAACAGGCAAAACCACTACTGATTGAAAACTTCGTTTGACGGAATTGAACATGAACCTCAAAATACAGGTGACTTAACGAGATTTTAATGAACCAGAGAACGGAATTTCATCAGGCCTTTTAGGCATCTCACGGATCCTTCTCTCGGGTTTGTTCGCATCACCAACCAGTTTTTTTATCGTCCTTATCCAGGTGGCGCTGCTGAGTCATCAGTCCTACTCAAGCTTTGTTGTTCGCATCACCAACCATGAAACAGAAACGGGAACCTGTGACCATCAACTTCAAAAAATCGGAACAGCGGTTCAATTTACGCATGATGTGCAATGCATCATACCGGACATAAGTCACGCACAAAACCACGCGCAAACTGTAGCGGAACGAGAGAAATTTAACTCCTATGACTGTTAGTATCATTCACTAGAAGTTATCTGACATTCAAGCATCGATTTGTCGGAATAAAGGTGGCTCAGGTGTGTTTACTGTTGGTTGATCAGATGGTAATTGATCTGTTCGCCGAGCTTGGCAATTGGTTTGCAAACATTTTTGTCCCCAGTCGAGGAGACATTGGAATTCCAATGAAACATGAGGCCTACAGATTACAACGCAGCCCAAATCACGATCGCGCCAATAATACTACAAGAAATGTATATACCAACTAACCAATCACATGACAGGATATTAGATACTTTCCAAAATCTATATAAACGCAGCTGGGCACGGAGGAATCACCCACTCCACTGCACACCGACGAATTCAGGCATCCTCTGTTGCATAGTGCCAAACCAGTAGTATGCTTTGATCGAACTATTCTAATCTTTAATATGTTGATAAGAACTTGGATCTTACGAAATTTACTAAAGCAGTCAAATGTTGGTCTAGTGTCCATTTCTACTGAAGGAATTCCTTTGTATCATGGCTAGCGAACTCTGTGTGCTTTCTAAGTTCTTCGAGTTGTTCTACGGGGCTGTTAATTCCTTGTCACGAGTTAATTAGAGGTATGTTCTCCATTTTTTAACAAATAAAACATGAATTAATGAGGCTTTGAAAAACTTATGAACATTACAAATAGACAGATGGACGGATTCACGACAGATGGTTGCAAGGAAGAACACAAGCGGGATCTACATTGTTTACGAGTTAAAAGATCCTGATACTTTTTAGAGTTCTCGAAAACTTCTTGGAGATAGCCAATGGGAATCCTCAATCGTTTTGACAAAGGCATGGAGATAACTCTCAATATAGAGTAAAGATTACCTGAGACACGTGAAAGGATTTGAGTTTTAGGCCATAGACTGAACCCTTTACGGGGCAATGAGTCATCTTCAACCATCTTTTATGATACCTTGAGAATTCAACGAGGTTTTCAACAAGGTTTTGAAAAGTCGTAGTCCCAATCTCTGAAAATCGATATTCATAATAGCGGTTGCAGTTTTATACACCATATCATAAAATAGGACAAGAAGACCGACCTTGTGGGAGCCGAACATAGACGCGTGCAACCGCTCGCAATGAGCAGAAGAATCAATCAGAAATCACGTACAAGTTCTATCTGATTGGCTGGTGTTTACACCCCCACTTATTGACTGGTTAGCGTAGGCGGAGTGAACAAGATGCACCCGTCAATATGATGGCTGAAAAAGTGAACCTACCCGTGCTGTCGCGTTTGATGTTTCTAGCCCTTGGTGTGGATAGACTGAAATGATCGAAAACCAGAGCAAAAAACATTTAAAAAAAATCGAACCTAGCCTAACTGCCAAGCCACTCGAAGGAAGCACGAGGGCTGGAATACTGTCAGGTTGCCCAAGCCTAGACAAGGGAAGTCGAGTGGCAGAGGTCGGGTTCGATCCACGGACCTTCCGGTCAGTAAATTCGCGCTTTAACCACTTGGTCCATCTCATTCAGAGCAACACGAACTGTTCAAGCAAGAGAGACGAGTAAACCAGCCCAAAGGTATTTCCGGCGAAGTTGCTGAGAGACGCGTAAAATGATCGATCGTATCATTTGCATGGACAAACACTATACTGTTCGTTCATTGAGAAAACAAGAAAAGTACTTCAAGCCGGCACTTATCAGGATGACCTGAGGAGAGTTCCAGGAATACTTGCTTACTCCGAATTTGGTTTCATGTGTTGTAGGTGTTGGAAACAAATGAGCATCTCCCTCGTCTTACGAACCCAGTGATTCGATCCCCAAGAACGAAGCTTATTCTGATCGATATTATCGATGTTGAAAAACACTAAGGTCAAATGTAGGCAGAAGCTTGTCGCAGAATATACATCCACATCGTCCTTGCTTGAACAGAACCCCCAATGTAGGACACGATTGATCCGGTTCGCAGGCAGAAAGGATGGCACAGAGCGGACCTGAGTTTTACATTTATTGTAGCAATTGTCTACAAAATTCTGAAGGTTGTCCGTGGCGGTACCTAACTAGGAAATCCTGAGAGGCGGTTCAATCGATCGCCAAAACTAGAGCAGGAGCCGGGCAAACATTTGCCTACCGGCGACCAGCGTGAGTTGATTGGGCAGCCATCGAGCTTAGCGGCTCTCCGGAGAATGGATAAAGGCATAAATCGGTGATAGGGCCGACTAAGAGTTAAGCTCGAATCCGGTGCTTCTCCTCCGGACTGGTTACGTCAAGAGAGTAAGCAAGACGAAAACGATGTTTATAAACATTCCACAACATTCTACTGTAAACAACAAATCTATTCCAACCTGAGTATTTTTCAGTACAGGAATCAGGCAAACGTAGGATCGTTCGCGGTAGATACCGATTTTTGTAAAACGATACTACACAAGGAAGAGAGCTTTTCAAACAAGAATACCGCAGATGTGAATTGTGCAGATCCCCCAACACTTGTATCAATTACAAGCTATGCATTTGCACTATGACTAGCCAGTTTATATTCAGAGTGAAATATACTACTCATTTGTGGCTATTTTACAAATGTAGAAATCATTACCAAATTACCAGAGGAGAAAAACAGTTTAATTTATCAAAGAAGTCGAGCATAAGGCAACTCCTTCGTCAGAAAATAATGGGAACTGATATTGCCATCAACCAAGCAAGAATTCACAGAACCTACTCATTTTCCCGGCTTTATCAGGCATTCACTACAACTGACGATGGCCTTACAGCAAAGCAGCTTTGTACTTGTCTTCACCGTATATCACTGAAGGATTGATGAACGGTTTTCTGCACGTTGTGGCTAGGCCAGTTTACATGCGGAAGTAGTAGCGTACTCCGTAGAAAATTTCTTCACATATTACCCGTTCACATTGTGGATTCTGCATTATATTGATTGTTTGTGTTAGTTCACGCACCCCTCTGTATAACCAGAGAATGGAGGTTTCGACAAGCTTTCGCAATGCAGACACATTTCGTTGATGCACTAACATCAATCACTAAGTAGCTCAGAGGAAGAACAGTTTCACAAGTTAAGTGAAAGTTCCACTTCAAATGTCTCTACTCGACGGACCGGTCAATATGTGACCACGTGGCGGTGAGTAGCGGCATATCTCGTCTAATTACGTGTTACGCCCACTGCTGATCGGTCGCTCGTGGTATGCCCTTCAGCTACTATCCAAGGGGTTGCTGGTTCGCCTCACCCCTAAGATTCGTTAGTTGCGCACTACTGATTTCCAAAAAAAGATGAAACAGTGCTTCTCGGCTCGGCTTCATTCACTAGACGAAAGCTCAGTTGAACCTCAGTTGCCATAGCCGATTCACCATCCAATTCCGGATCACCCATGTATTGGTTTAAAATCCTGCCTTTTCGAATACATGGCAATATAACTATGGGATGCGTAAAATCAGGTCAGTATCAAAGCACATGTTCTTGCATGTCGAATCTCTACTTGGTTGTTGTACCACTGGCTTCCATCGTATAATCGGACGAACGCATCAATAGCAACAGCAACAAACAACAACAGATGAAAGACGCAAGGTATTAAATTTGGAACACTTCAACACCAGGACTTAAGCCGATTTTGGTGTGTATTTTCGAATGGTAAGGCTGGTGAACCGACAGATGTGCTGCGTGCGGCCGTTTGCCCGCGTGCTGCGCATGTGCGGAGGTGCGTGCTGGACATGTGCGGCGGTGCGTGCTGGATATGTGCGGAGGTGCGCGTATGGGCGCACGCATGCATATGTGCGTGTGTACTCCAGTGTACCTAAGTTCAACGATGATCAATCCACTCAGTTCTTTACGATCACCTATGATGTGCACTCCCGTACGCCTCCACACATCCCCACTCGTCACGATGTGACGCATGCAACAATCGCTGCGAAACAGAAACGAAATGAACGGTAATTGTGAAGCGTCAGGGACAATAACAAGAGCAATACGCTGATTCCCAACTTTTTCCAAACTCAGCTATTTGGTCTTTTGTATCCAAAGATGTTACTGTCTGCTGGCTAGTCAGCACGCACCCACGGACGCACTCACGCACACAAATTAACGCAAGTCTTCGATTGGTTCACACAGAAGTGTCCATGTTACGATACCAAAGCCCCAGAAGAATCGTGATGTTTTCGAATTTGGTAATTACTGTGCCCTTTGCAAACAAAACGGGTGATTCCAGACTACCTCTGGTGCAGACACAGATCGAGTGAAGAAAACTGGGATTGTGGTCAAACATCCGTCGGACTACATGCAACACCTATATCCAAACTTCTATTCCCTAGTCTCAGCACCTTCGAAACCTCTGGATCCTCGTATTCGGCGACGATCTTGCGTGTGGACGTGTAGCGAGAACAACAGCATAGTGGACGACCTGAGGAACCATACGAAAGCCATGTCAGACGATTTTTCCGTCTCCAGTCAATCCACTGTGCTAAGCCAGCCCGTTCGCCGACGCAGCTCAAGCCAGGTTCCAACCCGAAAGTCCATGGGACCTATGGCTGCGCAGCGGCATTCCCTTCTACTTCAACAAGCAACAAATAACGTCTCGGCCACGTCTTCCTCTGCAGACTCTTCCACTCCCAGCCCACCGAGTGCTTTTGCGGACGAAAAAGTCATATGTCATGGTCCCGGGGAAGTACCAGGTAAACCCAAATCATCAGCGGTAAATTTCTCGCATGGTTATGAGTCAAACGTGGGACAACACCAAATACCAGGGGCACGCCAGGCTTTATATCCCAGTCGGAGTCGAGAATGCATCATCATGACTCCGCATATGCCGGTCCGATTTCCGATGCAGCACGTTTTTGCGCAGTGTTCCAGCCCCAATGCTTTCGCATCAGCAACTTTGCAAGACACTAGGCGGCCCATTGATAAGCAGCTGCGTCACTCACGAACATACGAACGCGAGATTGCCCAGACACACTCTCAGCGTGCTCAGTGCGCGTTCAGGACAACATTACAACCGGCACTGAGTCTACAGTCCATCAACAGACTATGTGAATTCTCTCCGTGCGTTGTTCCAGTGAACCAATCACGGTCGACTCGAAATAAGCTTGTAATGGGTTTGAGAGACCTCGGTGCTGTAAACAGGCATCAGCCAATAGGATCAACTCATCAAGAACCCAGACATATATCCCAGTATCTCACACCTGACCAGGTGTCGTCCACACACCTCAATCTCCAGGCGGTTGTGCAACCAGGGTGTCTTCTTATGGAGTCAGGTAATCACACACGAATTCACTCATTACCAGCTCACCTTGTACCACATTGGTCCACAGAATCTCCATCCACAAGTACTCAGCCAAGATTTTCCTCTAGACAATCAGACCCCAACAGGAGAGCTCGCTACGCAGACAGGCGTCGTACAATGTGGGGGATACCGTACGTGGACAATCTTCAAAAGAATGGCTGTGCGATTCTGCCAGTGATTCGCCACACTGATCCCGGTTTTCAACCCGTTATTTTATATCCTCCGCGTAGCTCCAATGAAGCTATCCCCTGCGTCTCAACTTCAACACCACGTTCAAACACTGACGGGGTGGACATCACGGGTATTCAGAGCCTGTCATCTGATTCTGGTGTTGATCTGGTGGAATATGACCACGGTAGTTACCGAAATGAATCTTCAGATAAACTCAAAGCACAGGCCCTAAGGAACGGAAGGCGAATGAGGCCTGTGAACGCAAAACGGGTTAGTGTAACAAGTCTATTCATATCTTTTTTAATCGACAAATTAATTGCGTGACCATTAGGGCGAGTAATTATTTTCAAAGAAGGATCTATAAGCCGAAGTTCCAACAGACTTTAATTCAATCTAAGAAACCTATGCGAAATACTTTTGAGCGTCTTCGTGTTGATGACAATAAGAAAGTGAGTATTTTTTCTTTGGAGTCGCCGGCCGTAGTAGGGTTATTTCACTGTTACTCAGCAGAGAGACAGTTTGTAGGAGTAGCTAGGCCTCCTTTTCACATGATTTTCTACCTAAACAAGAAGTTCAAACATCACGAAGGAGACTAGCTGTATATTGAATTATACACTTCACTGTAAACAATACTTGATGCCCGGCAATTTGTCTGCCGACCTGGACCGAGGATCGCAAATGACCGAATAAAGAAGCGCGGGAAATTCCCGGATGGTTTCGCCCTTGTTAAGTAACGTGTGAAAGGCTCATACATTTCAAACAGAATATACTGATTAGTACGCTCAAACAGCATTGTTTGTACAAATTTTTATCCAGAATTCTTCCAGATGGAACAATTAGCAAAAGTGAGGAAAAGAATATCACAACTAAAACCTTTGAGGCTCCCAAAGATATGTGGTGAAAAATTATTATCAATTACTGCAACCAATCACGCCTTAGACTTAAAATATGCTCAAGGTCACTTGTTCACCAGCAGTAATAATTAATACGAACAAATCACTTTACGAGACTATTCTCCGGTTTTTGAAGGAGTAAATGAACTGCATGAGATGTCAACTATTCACCCATGAACTGAAACACTTCATCAGGTCGTTCTGAAATAGACATTTTGACTCTTCGTGGTGTTACAGCGAAAATCCTAAGAGCTATTCGCCACCTACGAAGTAATTGGGATGAGGACACAAAATCTAGAGTTGATTTAAGCCGTCCGACCATCTTAAAACTGAAGTTCATCCAACGTCAAAGCGACGTTTTTTCAGTATCGTTAGATAATTGTTCCAGTGACGTGACTTTAAAATATTGACAGTTTTTGTCAGCGACCATGAAATAAATTTGAAATACTAAATCATCATAATCGGCTCGCTTGCCCTCTCGATGGAATTAATTAATAGGACTCAGCGTTTGGCATTTCAAAATGTGCTTATTAGACATCCGATCGTGTCCAAAATCTTTGGTCATATCTGCAATATTTTCCACGAATTATTTATTCTACTGTCTGCTAGCGAGCGTATGGAAAGCGGTCTTAGATAAGCCGAGTTGACACGTGACGGTGTGGTTGTCAATCCACTTAGGATCACTAGAAAAAACCGGGGGGTTGGGGTGGAAATCCCAACCGACCAAAGATCACAGCATCCCTCTT